GGGGTGGGGGGGGCCTGTCCTGAAACTAGCTCTGTAGACCAGGCTGGCCTCGAACTCACAGAGATCCGCCTACCTCTGCCTCCTAAGTGCTGGGATTAAAAACTAGGTGTGTGTCACCACACCTAGTGATACAGCCATTAAAGCACACCTTTCATTAAAGGTATCTAATCTGCACAAAAGAGGGTCACTGGAAATCTATTTGTAGAACTGTGCATTGTTTTTCCCAGCCAGCATTTCACTCTATAGTCTTGGCTGGCCTGGAATTTATTACGTAGACCAGGTTTGCCTTAAACTAGTAGAATTTTGCCTGCCTTTGCCACCAGAGTGCCAGGAGGCGACATTAAATCCAGCTCAACCTAATGTCTAAATACTGGTAATAATTGTAAAATGTTTTTTCCAAAAGAGAAAAAATATAAATGTGTCAAAAAATAACATGGCTTGTGCAACTCCTTTGAGGCATTATAAGTTGGGCTTTCATTTTGATGTTTTTTATTCATTTGTTATGGGATAGGGTCTCACTATGCAGCCCTTGCTGCCCTGGAACTGGCTATGTAGACCAATCAGGCTTCAAACTCAGAGATCTATTTGCCTCTTCCTTCAAGTGCTAGGATTCTCAGCCCAACCACACTTGGCTTAGTTTTCACTTTAGTTCTGTTGACGATTATTGCAATAGGAATTAGACATGACTAGAATGACTGAATATGTTTACTGCACTGACTCACTTAGAAAAAAACTGGTTTTTGTAGTTGCTATTGGTTGCTTTTTCTTTGTGTTTATTTTTGTTTGGCTGGTTTTTTGGACAGGCATGGTGGCACATGCCATTAATCCCAGCACTCCAGAGGAAAGTGGATCTCTGAGTTTGAGGCCACCCTGGCTTACAGAGCAAGTTCCAAGACAGACAGGGCTATACACACACACATACATACATACATACACACACACAATTAAAAAAAAAAAACCTATCTAGAAAAACAGAATTAACTTTTAAAAATTTTGCATAAAGTTGTTAAGTTATTCCATTACTTTTATTTAATATGTAAATTACATTCTATATATTACTGAGCTGGGTGTGGTGGCATACTCCTGTGAGCCCCTAATTTAAGAGACTGAAGCAAGGAAATATTAAGTCACAGGTTACCTTGGTCATAACCAAGACCCTATCACAACAATGGAAGGAAATGGAAGGAGTAGGAGGAAATGAGACAATTTGGAGTAAGGGAAGGAAAAATTAGTTGGTAATTTTAAGATGTACAGAAAATTTGAATAGTTGAAACACTAGAGCAAAAGAAGGTAAAAACTGTAAGCTCAAAAATTTAAATTACCTGGTACTAGCACAGGAGCCCGTGGTCTTTTGACGTGTGCTCCTCCTCAAACTGGGGAGCTCAGCAGGTGGGGACTCACTGCGCTTCTTGGTAGACTTTCTTAAACCTATATGAGAAATAGAAAAGTTGAATTTTCTAAGTTATCATGAATCAAGTGTTCAGAAACCCATGCTTTTTAAAAAAACCTACCAGCTCTTTCCGTGATCTTCTGGGATCAGTCCAATCACTCAACACAAGTCTCACAGTAGCAGTCCTGCCTTTCCCAGGTCCTCTACCCTCTAGCACCTGAGATTTCCCTGGTGTATACTCTGGACTTAAAGAATTCCATTTAACTGGGTGGTGGTGCCGCATGCCTTTAATCCCAGCACTCAGGAGGCAGAGGCAGGCTAATCTTTATGAGTTCGAAGCCAGCCTGGTCTACAGAACTAGTTTCAGGACAGCTAGGGCTGTTACACAGAGAAATCCTGTCTTGAAAAACCAAATAAATAAATAAGGAAGGAAAAGAAAAAAGAAAGAAAAAATTCTCTCTCATTAATTTTACACTACCCCTTGATCTATTTTGGCTACTTTACATAAGGCTAATCAAAAAAAAAAAAAAAAACACAGTATGCAAGACAGTATTTCTTTATTTCATTTATGCTTGAGCCTGAAACTAAAGTTTAGTGGAATGACCAATTTTTAGAACATAATTAGGAAGAAATCAACCCAGCAACTTTACAGTTATTCTGAAAGCTACCTAATGCTCTTATAGTGGTAGTTGCTACTAAAGTTCTAATAACCAAAAGCTTGTTATTTTTAAATGAAGAAGCCATGACAGCATCTACACTTATACCCTCCTCTTCACCATAAACAATGGTACCATGTATGACAGTATACTGGGCAGTAGGCTCTATTTAATGAAACAATTTCAATAGTGAAAAGACTCACTCCAAAGTCAATACTCTGAATACTACTGGACCAACCATGTTAAATGAATGCAAACTTTTCAGAGCACAAGTATGTGTTTGGCCTCAATTACTTCTATTTTTCCATTAAGTTTTAAGTTTTGGACATATCTTTTTAAGGTGAAAATTCGCTACAGGGTGGGGGAGAGGGACAAAGACAGAAGTCATTATGTAGCCCTAGCTGGTCTGATGCTTGCTTTGTCTAACACTGCTGAGATTAAAGTGAACTACCACTACCTGGCCTAGTACTTTTGAGTTCTTGAAGCGCCAAAAAGGGGACTGGAAGAGAATGAATTGGAAAAAATAATTCAAGATATCTATGGGACAAGAGAGATGACTCAGCAATTAAGAAAGCTTACTGTTCTTGCTAGCAATCCAGATTCAGTTTCCAGCACTCACACACAGAAGGCAACCACCTCTATCTCCAGATGTAGGTAGGCCTCTTCAAACCTCCACAGACCATGCTCTATGCTCCTTGCACGCTTACATACATTCAAACATACAGATAATTTTTTTAAATGGCATATTAGGTATCTCCATCTTTTTTATTAAATTAAAACTGCTGCTCATTCAAGTAGAGATCATCTTTATATAATCGGGAAAATTGATGAATGAGTCTTCAAACAAAATCAGACTCTGAAGACAAATCCAATGGCCAGAGTGACACTATAAACTAAACATTCAAGGAGTATATAACCTTTGAAAGAATAGACATTTAAAATAAATGGAAAAGAATCAGAGCATTATAATGTAATTAATAAAGACTAGCTTAAGAATTCTTGAAATCTCCATTTGGTTTTAGGTTAATTTTCAACCCAATTTCTTGATATAATCCCACACCTGTGCATTCTACTCTACTAAGCCTTTGTCTTGACATTCAATTTGGTCACAAGAGACACAATAGAAAACTGACAACGTATTTAGTTAATATTTTTTTAAAAAATCCAGCCACTTAGGCAACATGCTATAAATTTTACACTTGGGGTTGGAAATGTTCAAGATTAGCCTGGGTTGCATGAATCTATTTCAGAGAAGAGAGAGAAATTTATTTCAATATTACCTTCACAACACAGTAACTTCAAACCTAGTCTGAGTTACACAGAGCTCTGTCTCAAACAACCAAAAGCACTCAAGATCGAAGGAAAATATACACAGGGAAAAAAAAAAGCAAAACAACTTTCACTTACAATAAATCATTTAAAAATCTGTTAAGAGCCAGGAGGTGGTAGTGTACACCTTTAATCTGTGATTAAGGAAGGCAGAGGCAGACTGACCTCTGAGTTTAAATCCAGCCCTTTCTACGTGAGTGAGTTCTAGGACAACCAGGGCTACACAGAGAAACACTGTCTTGAAAAACCAAACACAAGAAAAAAAGTTTAAAAAAAAAACTGATAAGGATACTAATAATGTTATGTCACGTTATGTGTGTATCTTTCTATATAACATGATAGTCATAGTGGCAAGTAATAGACAGTAGCAGAAAGAAGAAAAGCCTGCAGAGCAATGATGGTATACACCTTTATTTCCAGCACTTGGGAGGCAGTGATAGGTGGATCTCTGAGTTCCAGGTCAGCCTAGTCTACAAAGCCAGGGCTGTTACACAGAGAAACTCTGTCTCATCGGGCCCCTCCCCAAAAAAATGAAAGAAAAAAAGAAAAAGAAAAAAGAAAAATGCCTAGTGCCACGAAAAACAGAAAAAGTATTTGCACGTGCATGAAAAAAAAATTGCCTTCTGAATTAAAAAAAAAAAAAAAGACTAAAAAATATGCACTGAATTCTACCCCTTCACAAAATGTCCATTAAAAGAAAAATCTGACTTTCAGGGTACAGAGAAACCCTGTCTCAAACTCCCTCTACCCTTTAGCACTGGGGAGGCAGAGGCAGGTGGATTTCTGTGAGTTTGAGGCTAGCCTGGTCTACAAGAGCTAGTTCAGGACTCGCTCCAAAGCAACACAGAGAAACCCTGTCTTGAACCACCACCCCTTCCAAAAAAAAAACCAAACAGTTAATTATGGCTGGGTGGCACATTGCTAGGCAGTGGTGGTGAATGTCTTTAATCCTAACACTCTGGAGGCAGAGGCAGGTGGATCTCTGTGAGTTCGAGGCCATCCTGGTTACAAGAGCTAGTTCCAGGACAGGCTCCAAAGCTACAGCGAAACCCTGGGGGGGGGGGGGGGGGGGGGGGG